TTAATGAAGCCAGCCTTCTTCTCCGCCTGCTCACGGCTGAGCTCGTCCTTCAGAGCCTGGATTTTCATTAACCCATCCTTCTTCTCCGCCTGCTCACGGCTGAGCTCGTCCTTTAGACCCTTGATTTCTGAGCGCCAGTCAGGCTCGTTCTGGGGAACTTTTGTCCCCATAGCTTTAAGCTTGGTTGTGAGCTCATCAATTTGTTTGTCCAGTGCCTGTTTCTCATGCAGAGTCCTGTCGATGACCTGTTCCCTCTGTTTTATCGAGTACTCCAGCTCATTCACCTGGTTGCACCTTTGCTTCAGGTCATGTCTGATCTTGTGGATCTCTGCCTGCTGGCTTTGGTTACGMTGACTCAAAGACCTGTACTCCTTCTCTTGGATCCTCAACTCCTTCTTGGCATCCTTGAGATCAAGCTCTAGTTCCTCCTTGAGTCTTTCAAAGTCAGCATTCTGCATGCTCTCCTTTTCCTTCCGCCATGTAGCTTCTTTGCAKGACATGGCCATCCTTAAACTGGCATTTTCATGAGCCAGATTCAAATTCTCAGAGTCCAACTTCTGTTTCGCTTCAAGGAGGTCCTCAAACAATTTCTCRGAGTCTGGCACCTGAAAGACACAAACATGTAACAGTTAAAAACACAGTCCCACACTCACTTTGAATTAAATGTTGATGAACCAGTCCAACAAATCATTGATTTAACCACCAGTACATTTAAATACAGTTTCTTCAATTYTGTTAAATACAGTCTCTACATACTAGGGATGTGACGATAGGAAATTTTGGTGCCGATTATTGTCAGAGGAAATATCACAGTTTCGCGATTTACACGATTATTGATTAAATGAAAAACAAACAATATATAGCTAATAGTATAGCTAATTAACTACAATATTTATTATTGTTATAAGTGTAAAACTGAAAAACATGTTTCCTGTTTGGAAACCTTACCCTTTTTGACTTGTTCTTCGGCATGTTTGCTAAATACAGGAACAGTGTTGGTGTACTGAAGTATATTCTGTCTTCTGACGGTCTCGTGTATCAAAGATTTGTGGATCTGTGGTCWRGTTTTGGAGCTGTTGTCCTCWCAAGGTCTTCTCCTGAACTCTTATAGGCACTGAACCTGGCCTTGATGGCTTTGAAGTCCAGATAAATGACATTTAACAATCAAGGTCAAATATGACATCATAGACACTGTCACATGGGACATTATAGACTCTTTCACATGTGACATCACAGACACTGTCAGTTAAATGTGATATTAAACAAACAGTTTTCCATGATATAAGCCCTATGAGGCAAATTATGATAAGTGAATATGGAGTATATAAAAAATGTATTTATTGATTGATCGATCAGTTTTGAAACACAGTACCACAAACTGTGTGATTTTTATTGGAACAGTACAAAAAGCACAAATATACTTTTGTTACCCAACATATGTTATAATCACTTCAAGTTTTTTTCAAACAATATTAAACTATAAAATGTCATTTCTCTCTGTGTGTGTATATGTTAATAACAGTGTTTTGATGACTTGTATCATCTACATGTCCCCAGTGAGTATGTGTGTGTCTGTGTGTGTAATTTTTGACTGTGTTCACAGACCAGATTCACTCATTCACGATGAAGTATAAAAGAATACAAACATATAAACGAATGGCCCAACAGTCCTTTTAAATCCAATCAAGCTGCACCAAATTGCAGCTTGATTGTTATATAAAGAGTTTTTTCACATAAAATATGTTGAATAGTTTTACGAATTCCTGCTGTGAGACAAGCAAACAAACAAACAAACGGACAGCGGTGAAAACAGAGGCCTCCGTGGGGTGGATAGTTTATGAACTTACCAACATTATGAATCAATTACAAACTTAACGTGTGAGCCAATCAACCAAAAATGTATTGGCAAGAAATAGAATAATTTTATGAGCAAAAATAGCCAAAATGTGTTGTTTCTGTTTCCCAAAAATGAATATTATGTCTTCCATGAGTATATATTCAGCATCTAATGATTCCTTTGGACACTGGAATAAAGACAAAACAGAAAATGGATTTAAAGAAAATGTTTTAAGACACATGAAGAATCTGATGATGTTTTTTTTTTACTGCAGCTTTCTAGTGATTCTGAATAAATGACGTCACTGTAAACAAAGATACAGTGGAATATTTTGGATGAAGCACTTTCTGTAAGAACTCATGCTGTGAAATAAAACAGTGTGAAAAGGCTCAGAAACCCTAAAACTGCCTCCAGCGTCTCCCCTATTTCACTCGTTTCCTCCCCAGCGTTCAAACAAACTGCAGAGTCTGAAAACAACTTTAATATGTGAATAAATTGTATGAAATTCAAAATAACTTCACCGTGCATCTCATTTTGCTGTTTAAAGTGTAGATAAATGAAGAAATTCAGCATCTGATGTTTGCCTGTCTGAGGTTAAACTGGAGTGAACTGCATCACACCAACACATGTTAAAAGATCACTCGCAGCTCAGTGAAAATATTAAAATTATAATCATGAAACGTGAGCTTTATTTAGAGCAGTTGTAAACCCAGTTACAAGTGTTTTTACAAAGAGTTTTACTGATCAAAGTGAAGCAGTTTGAAATGGAAAACAGACTTATGGGGAAATAAATGAGGATATGATTAAAAGAAGGTTAAGTGGAGCATGTTTGTAAAATTACTTTTTAAAGACGAAGCGTCATGCATCTCTTTCTCTACACATTTAACGAGGGTTGAATGTGTGAGTAATGGGACTTTTTTTCCCCAATAGCTTTATAAAAACAAAACAAGAAAATTAAAACAAAAACCTCCCTCATTAGGAGAATAATCAGAAAAGCTGGACTCGAACGCACTCCGGTCCCTCGTCGTCGCTGCTGCTGCTGCTTTCACAAACTGCTGCTCTCTATCTAAATCAAAGCGCCCACAACACTCCCAGAGCCCTAAACCACAGAGAACATTTCCAGTTGGCCCGATCCCACCGATGAGGTAACAGCGCCGGGACCCCGGATAAGCAGAGAGACTCCACATCTTTATGGGAAGAGAAAAATCCAGAAGTGCTGGAGCAGATCGCAGACAAAGGACTGTTCTTTGTGTCAGTTCACAGAGTTTGGCAGCGAGAGAAGGGGGTTGAGGAAATAACATGACACTTTAAAATCAAAAGAAACTAAAGTACAGAAGTAGAGTTTTGCTTGTTTTTTATTTTGTAGGGCCTCTTAACGTCAGCTTCACTGGATTTATTGTGCATTTTGTTCACACATGTATCTACTAACTGTGATTGTGATTGAAGGTCATGTTTACATGCGATGCCTTTATTTCCGGTTTCAAATTGCAATTTTTCTGAGCTCGCTGAAGAACTTTGCACGACGTTCCAACATCCTGTCGTCATCAGCCACGTGTCCTGCGTCTCGCAATACTTGACATTGATTGGCTGATAAACAGACATCTAGTTTCTGCAGTTTGTTTTTTGCATTTTTTCCTGCAGGTTGACTTTTGATTTTTAAAATCCTAGTAAAATATTTAGCCTTCTCCTCATGCTGTGGATTGTTTCTTCTCATGCAGTTATTTTTCTTCTTGTATTGTTTAGTGGATGCACCTTGTACACCTGCCACTTAGGTTTCGGACCAAACAAGGTAAGTGTGAAAGCTTGAGGCACAAGACTCAGTTGGATTCTTTCTCTCTGAACCATGAAAATCTGTAGAAAACTCTATAATAGTTGTTTCTGGACCAAAGTAGTCGACTGAGCATCATTTCCAACATGGAGCTAAAACTTCACACAAACATGGTCCATCCATTCTCACCACAAGGTCCCATTAGTCTGGGCTCTGTAGCTTTCAAGCTAATGGTTAAAAATTATGTTTGAAACTCAACTCTTCAGCCAATTCTGACCCCAAAGTCGGTCACTGGTTAAAGAATAAATGGAAGTATGAACATGAACATCTGCATTTCCATGACAACTGGCGACCTCCATCTGCTGATGAACATCATTCGTCATTAAATTGATGCGCGATTGTTTTCTCAAGAGCCCATTCTTCAATATCACCACTTAAAAAAGCTTCTTTCCCACATTGTGGTGTTTCTATTTTCAGCTGTGTGAAGAATTTGAGTTCTTCCATCTCTGAATGAATCAGCAGTGAAACAGAGCTAACACAGAGCGACATGCTGCGCTGCATAGCAATTAGCACCATCTGTCTTTCCTCTGCTCGGATGTTTGAACTTTCTCTCTGTTGCTGCAGGTTTCGACCTCATTTGTCCAACTTTAAGTCTGAATGACACAGACCGTGTTGTTCTTCCCTCTGATATAAAGTTGTTATAATGATTTAGTTCAGACAACGTATCAGCGGCTAATATCAGATATTGTTGGGTATTTGATTTTGAGTTTGTTTAATCTCTTTTGGTTGAGGTGCCTTTGTAAATCCATTTTTAAAGAACCCTGTTTGTTTTATTCCTACTATCACTTCCACAAACCTTATACACACACAAATGCATAAAGATATACATAAATGTGAATGTGCAATGTCTGCAAAGAAACCTTGAATAAAATATACATGCACTCAGGTATACATATACAATTACACAGCAAATAAATAAGCAAAAACATTCTGAGTTATAGATGCATGCGGTGTCATTTGTATGTATTTCTGACAGTTGTTTAAAAATGTTAAAATCAACATAAAGTCAGTGTTACTAGACTCTAGCCTCACTACATATCACAGCTATAATTGTATAATATTTGAGTGTATATTGCTGAACAATTGTTGGTTTAACTTTGAGGAACAAAAAACTTTGTTGTAATAGATGATTTTCCTTCTTTTTAATCTGCTTTTTTAGCGATATCAGTCATACTAGTTTGAGTTTGGGATTAAAATGATGACTCTGGTATTTTGTCTCTTTTCTGTGCTTAAATGATCAATCAGACAATCAGAGAGGAGCTCACACATCCTGTATCTTCAATTCCAGCTCTGCCACCACAGGGAAAAGGAAGAAAATCCATCACCCACCAAGATGAACATAAAAAGTTGTAGCACAAACAGTTAAAAGCTTCTCATATATGTCTGAAAATAAGCAGGAGTAATAAAACATAAAGGCAGTTGAGGGTCAGCAGAGGATCTGTGAAAATGTGAAGTAGAAGCAGCTGCTGCTCCATGTGGGTCCACTCTGTCATTTCTCAAATCAAGGCTCAGCGAGGTTTTGTCCCTCGGTGGATTTACAGCGCACACATATCTGTGCTGACAGTGCATTTTCATTGCCACTATGAAAGGCTGCAATAACACACCACTTAATTGAACGTTAGAATCACTTAAACACACTTAAGGATAAGTGGCCTCCAAAAGCATCGTTTTATCTCAACCCGCTCATTTGAAGTTGCAGCCAAACGTTTCCTTCCACTGTCACTGGCAGCAGATGGATTGGGTCAACTGCAGTCCCATAATCCTCTGCTGCTCAGACAGGGGTTTTCATCAGGACTGGGTGTTTTAAGTGGCTCTTAAGTCTCCTGGTGCTTTCATCTGCCTTGTTGCCCCAGGATAACTTTTGATTGCTTCCTATCTGCGGCTTTCAAATGTATACATCCCACTGGCATGAGGGGTAACTTACAACAACATGAAACATGAGTTCTGTTGGACACACAGCCAGGATGGTAAACAGGTGTGAACATGACAGGTTCTTATCTGACAAATGTTCTGCTGCAGAAGAAGGAGAAGGAGATGAGAATGCAGTTTGGATGATCTTTTCATCCTGTACAGTAAAGGTTATTGTTTGGGTCATGCGCATTTTTTTTTCCTTGCACATGAGGAAGAAACAGATCCAACAGATCTCCACTCCTGTTGCACAACACTGAACATGTTTTCATCCAGTTTGTCGTGATAATAAACATGGAGCCTGGAAACATGGAAAAGTTACTTACCCAGAACAGCCAGGAGAAGCAGGACACATGTCGGCCCCATGATTCCACACTCTGCAGGGGGATTGAACAGAACTTCACTGGTCTCACTGGAGAGTATTGTTTTGTTTTTTTTCCCTTTTACGCAGCGTCCTCGTTTATCCCGACACAAATCCTCACATTATGGATCCAAAGCGTGGAGCGCACACTCCTGTGACATCCGCGCATCATGGTTCGCTGGAGAGAAAGGACAAGCGCGCGGTGCCCGATGTTCAAACTTCTCATGCAAACGGACTCATACAATAAGAGGAAGATCAAACTTCTTCTTCGTTTCACCCTGAAGTTGTCAAACGTTGTATCGCTGAGATAATTGAACGTGAGAATGGAGCAGATCGTTCGCCTTTACGCGCGTCCTCGGTGCGTCCTGCGCCCAGGAGGAGTGTCTGGACGTGTTTTCGCTTCAGAGAGAGGAGTGGACTCACCCCCCGCCTCTCCACACACTCTGTGGGCGTGGAGTGTGTGTGTGTGTGTGTGTGTGTGTGTGTGTGTGTGTGTGTGTCTGTCCAAGTTTTCTCCCGTTTGGTGCAAAAACACCCACGTGCATGAGCCTTGAGATGTTTTGGGTTTTAACATTTTTTTTTTAACAACAACCCGATGCAAACTTCATTAAAACCATTTTTATAAAATTACGCAACTTTTCACCTGTCATATCGATGAGTGTTAGTTTGTCACTTTATCTGGGTGTTAGCTTGAACTACACTCATTTTTGTGCAGAAGCCCGAAAATAAAATGCATCTTGTTTTAATCTCTTTATTTAACATTCTTTCTAAAATAAGGTTTATTTTTGAGATGTGCTAGAAAATCATGATTAGTGAAAGTGATATCGAACCAAATTCGAAGAGGCACAAACATGTGGGGTTTTGAACTCACTGTTGGTAAGGTCAAGTTTTCAGTCACCTCACTTGTGTCCTTGCATCCTAACATCCTCCTTGTTATCAGTCGTGATGGATGCTGCACATTCTTCCTGACCATGGCTTTAAAAGCATGCACCTTCTCATCATCGTCTGTTCGCCTGGAGGGAAGAACAACAACAAAGAGTCAGCAACACCTGTGTGTGTGTATGTGTATAAGTGTGAGTGTGTGTATGTGTGAAAGAGAGAGAGAGTAAAAGAGAGAGAGAGAGACCTTGGCGTTGAGTTTCTTTCTCTATTTAACTTCTGGTTCTTTGACCCTCAGGCGTCTCTGCAGCTCCTCTTCTTTCATCCACTCACAGACTGATTGATCCGCACAAAAACTCCAAACATCTTATTTTCTTTTACGAGATGTTTTCCTCAATTTCAACTGTAGAATTAATGATTATCAGCTTAACAATGTGTATTTTTGGGAAATATCAGAGTCCTATTCAGCGTAATTTATTTTAACAGAATAAAGAATATAATTATATTGAAGCTTACTTTTGGAGGCAAAAGAAGAAACGATGGATAAAATGATTTGCTGATGTAACTTTGACAAAAGAAGACAAACCTGTAATCTCCACAGATTCTGTTTTGCACTTGTTCAACATCATCTGACGAAAAGAAAACGTTAACGTTAATGAAGCAGAACCAGAGATGTCGTCTGTTTTGTTCCACACATTCTTCCTCCTCGTCTGGAGACTACATTACCCATAATGCAAATTGACCACTGCAGTCAGTCCAGTTGTAGTTTTGGGTGTGTTATGTTAATCCAGACTAATGTAGCCTCAAGCTGTTCATCTGCAGCAGAGGTCTGGTGAGCTTATTTCTTCTTCTTCTTTCTAACTCCACAACCTCAGATTTTTATTTTTCATTTTCAAAATTTCAGTCCTCTGCACCAACTGACCCAAGTGACATCATATACACAGAAGTAGCCCCTGAGACTTTCTGCAATCTTTCAAATTCACATAATATTATTCAGGTTCCAGCGCGGATTAATGAAATACCACAGGGACAGTGAAGTTGAATGTTCATAAAATGAGCTCATTTTCATTTAATCAAAAATGTTTTTTGAATATTTTACTGCATGTTACAATCCTGCAAGTGTAAGTTTAAGACCTGGAACAACTTGATATATAAATATTGCTTTCATTAACATTTACTGAAAACGCCCACTGTGAGAACAAAGCGACGCCATTAAACCAACGATATTTGATTCAGAGTGATGCAAAAATAAAATATATCATAAATAACGCAAATTAAAACTCTGAAACCAGGAAATATTTGGTGGAGATGTATTTTTTTTTATATCAATTCACTACCTGTGCATTGGATTTGTATGATACTATCAGACAGTGGAGAAGAAAATCTTATTTTTTCCCAAATGTCACATTTACATGCTCTTCAGCTTGTGTGGATGTTTTTCGACAGTGCTGCAACATCTCTGGGACAACACAGGAAATGGAACCATCTCAGGAGAACAATGTGACTCTATAAACTTCAGGATTCAGCTCTGTTACCCGTGTTTTTAAAAATCCTGAAATACATTTAAAGGAAAGTTTGCACCAATGTTTTCACATATATAGAGCGATGATAGTGAAGGAGGCCCCACCATACACAAAAACACTACTTCATATGCTTCTCCAATAATCCTCAATCTGCAGAGCAATGCTCCACCGAGAGAGTTCTAATTAATTTCTATTCTTTGGAGTCTTTGCCTCCCTCAGTTTGCTCCATGGTATTTGCTCTTTTAACTCTAATCCTGGATCCACGCTCTGGGAGAGTGACTCCAGCCCTCTTTCTCTCTTTCTTTCTCTCTCAATTCCTTCTTTTCTCAGGATCCGGAAAAGCCGCAGAGCGAGATCCGGACAAACAGACTGATGGGATTTGGAAGAAGCCCGGAAGGGGTATTAATAAGGGGGCTGCGTGGAGGAGAGGCTGGAGGCAAGGAGGTGAAACTGGGGGGCTTGTTCTGGTGTGTTGACCCCTGTGTTGTCCTGTGTGGCTAATCAAAGCATCGCTGCACTCTCTTTGTGTCTCTGCAGGAATGTGATGTAAGTGAGGCTGAAGTTAAACCGCTTTGATTGTCAAAAGGCTCAGTGAGACAGTAAAACCATTGAGAACCTGTAGCCAAGCTGCTTCCCTATCACATTTCCTAAGAGGAGTGGTGATATTATCTCATAAAGAGCTGTCGTTGGGTGACGTGATTATGGTTTTGCCTGTAAATGCTGAAACTTGTTATTCTCTCTTGAAATCACGAGGGATCGTTCTAACATGTTTTTTGCGTTAAGCCTTTATCGTCTGTAAACACGCCAGAGCAGATGAATGTGAACGGGGACATTTCAAAGCTGCTGTCGCTCTGTTTCTGATTAAAGTCGTGTTCTGAAGATCTGGATGACTGCACTGTTTTCTGTTTGCTTCTCTCTTTGTCTCCCTGCAGACGTTTGTGTCATTTCTAGAGGGTGCAATAAAAGGCAGGAGGAGGAGGGAGTGGCACACAAAGGACATAAACCTCACACTGAGTTATGGCGTTTTAATTGTTTAACCGTTGATTGTTTGTTAATGTATATCAGGCCGGAGGAGTTACCGACTGGCGGCAATAGAAATATGTTTTCAGGGAAAGACTTCAGCCAAAAAACAGGTTTTTATTCTTCAATACTATCAGTTTCTAAATATACCAAATACATCAGGATGAATTCAAGCATTCTGTTGGGATGAGCTATAATATTTCCATTCAGTGGAATCGTTCAGCCATATTAAATATGAAGTGCCAGGTTTGAACAGATTTAACTTAGCAAGGAGCAAACTTTGTGTTTAAGCTCTAAAATTAATTGTGGTGTTCCTCAAGGTAAAGTTTTAGCTCCTCCACTTCTTAACCTTTACGCTGCAACTTGGAAATGTATATCGATATTAGATAATCACCTTATGGATAGCAGAGAGCGCTTTACATTGGTGCTGAAGCTCAGAGAGATAGAACGAGAAACTGTGAACTCCTGTCAACAAGCAAAGGGTGGAAAAGGGAGGAGAGAAGAGAGAGAAAAAGAGGAGGGTGAAGAAAGGGCGGAGAGAGATGAGTATATTTGAAATATTAAAAAAATATATATATTCAAAATGTCAGAAACTGAGATTTCCTGACTTTTATTTCCTGGATTCAATTGCGCTTCAACACTGGCCCCATCCTACGTTTCCCACAATGCAACCAGTAGCCTCCTGTTAGATTTTTACCTGACTGGTAAATCCCCTCATCTTTCAAACTCCATGACCACACGGTTTGTAATGGAACAGTTATCAGCACACGTGCCAAAAGTCGAGTGAGCATTTCAGTGGAAGCCAAGTATTAGCTCAGTATTAGCCCATAAATCTTCACAGTCAAAAAGTCCACACGCAGATAAGCCTGATGACATGTTAAAGGGTTAGCTTCTCTCTTCCCGAGTTATACAACTGTTTTCACAGGCCGCGTCGCACTTCTCATCACAAGTAAACCGATCCTTTGAGATAAAACATATAAAATCTATCTGCAAACACTTCTCGACCCGCGCTGGCTCTGATCTCAGACAGCGAAGCAACGATCCTCCGCCACCTGTGCCGTTTCCCTCCCCCCCGGCAAAACAATGAGTCAAACACGCAGAGTGGTCCAGGGCCCAGTCGGCGAAGGCCCGGCTCCAAGTTCAGCTCCAGTATGGCCGACATCTGCTGCTGCAGAGACAGTTGAAACAGCTCAGTTAAATCAATCCAGACTGAGAGCGGGAAACGGAGAGACAGAAACAGAAGGGGAAAGAAAAAAAGGTGGTGGAGACGAGAGGAGGGGGAGGGGGGGGAGGGCTTTTCATCTGCGTTGGTAAATACTCCCATGTGCAATGAGAGATCCCATTGTGGAGGAGTTCTTTGAAATGAAGCGGCCTGCGGGGTCAAGGAGAAACTGTCCCTGCGAGAAAAAAAATTCCCAGAAACAACTGGGAGAAAAGGGAGGGAGAACACGGCGAGGGTGAGGACACTGCTGTCCCTGTCTTCTCTCCTCCGTCCCTCATTAGTAAATGTTATTTATACATACAGAGGTTTTCATGTCCAACAGTAGCTTGGAATAAATCACCCGACAGGAAGACGCACATGTTTCAGTAACGCCTGTGAGGTTTCTGAGTGAGCACTTCCTCCAGGAGACCCCGTCGTCTTCCTGCGGCTGTGAGGTGATTGACAGCAAGAAGAGCGTAATACGGCGCTGATATGAAAACCCTCCGCTCGACACGGAGGAATAATGATAAAGCCGAAAAACAAGGATGGAATCCATGAGCTGTCTGTGATGGATTGTTTACCTTGGGAGATTTTCAGGTCGGCTGAGGTTGTTTTTTCACAGTGGACGTGAACGAGCGAGGGAAAGAAAAACAACAGGATGATGCAGCGACGACCCTTTTTCCTTCTAAACCAACTTAAAGACGTCTGTGCTGCTGCGCTGCCATGCCAGACTCGGGATTCTTGTGGTCACTGTGG